ACTTGCACCTGGGCTTGGGCCTGGACTTGCACCTGGGCTTGGGCCTGGACTTGCAACTGGGCTTGGGCCTGGATTTGCACCTGGGCTTGGGCCTGGGTCTGGGTCTGGGCCCTCGCCTGAGTCTTGGCCTGTACCTGGGCTTGCACTGTCTTGGCATGGCCCTGGGCCTGCGCCCCTACCTGAGTTTTGGCCTGCACCTGGGCTTGCACTGTCTAGGATTGAGCCTGGGACTGGGCCTGCGCCTGCGCCTGTGACCCCACCTGAGACTTGGCCTACACCTGGGCTTGCACTGTCTTGGCTTGGGCCTGGGACTGGACCTGGGACTGGGCCTGTGCCCCTGCCTGAGTTTTGGCCTGCAACTGGGTTTGCACTGTCTAGGGTTGGGCCTGGGACTGGACCTGGACCTGGACCTGATCTTGGGCCTGGGCCTGGGCCTCAGCCTGGGCCCCCGCCTGAGTCTTGGCCTGCAACTGGGTTTGCATTGCCTAGGGTTGGGCCTGGACCTGGACCTGGACCTGAACCTCGACCTGGACCTGGACCTGGGCTTGGGTCTGGGCTTGGGCCTCGACCTGTGCCCCCGCCTGAGTCTTGGCCTGCAACTGGGTTTGCACTGCCTAGGGTTGGGCCTGGACCTGGACCTGAACCTGGACCTGGACCTGGGACTGGACCTAGACCTGGACCTGGACCTGGGCCCCCACCTGAGTCTTGGCCTGCAACTGGGTTTGTACTGCCTAGGGTTGGGCCTAGACATGGACCTGGACTTGGACCTGGACCTGGGCCTAGGCCTGGGCCCCTACCTGAGTCTTGGCCTGCAACTGGGTTTGCACTGCCTAGGATTGGGCCTGGACCTGGACCTGGACCTGGGACTGGACCTGGACTTGGACCTGAACCTGGAGCTGGACCTGCGCCCCCACCTGAGTCTTGGCCTGCAACTGGGTTTGTACTGCCTAGGGTTGGGCCTGGACCTGGACCTGGACTTGGAACTGGACATGGGCCTGGGCCTGGGCCCCCACCTGAGTCTTGGCCTGCAACTGGGTTTGCACTGCCTAGGGTTGGGCCTGGACCTGGACCTGGACCTGGACCTGGACCTGGACTTGGACCTGAACCTGGGACTGGACCTGGACCTGGACCTGAGCCTGAGCCTGGACCTGGGACTGAACCTGGGCCTGGACCTGGGTCTGGACCTGGACTTGGACCTGAACCTGGGACTGGACCTGGACCTGGACCTAGGCCTGGGCTTCCACCTGAGTCTTGGCCTGCAACTGGGTTTACACTGCCTAGGGTTGGGCCTGGACCTGAACTTGGACTTGGACCTGGGCCTGGGCCTGGGCCTGGGCCTGGGCCTGGGCCTGGGCCTGGGCCCCCACCTGAGTCTTGGCCTGCAACTGGGTTTGCACTGCCTAGGGTTGGGCCTGGACCTTGGCCTGCACCTGGGACAGGGCCTGGGCCTGTGTCCCCACCTGAGTCTTGGCCTACACCTGAACTTGCACTGTCTTGGTTTGGGCCTGGGCCTGTACCTGCACCTAGGACTGAGCCAGGGCTGGAAGCTGAGGCCATGCTTGCACCAGAGCCTGGTACAACACCAGGTTTAGTGCCTACACCTGGCCCTGCCCCAGACAGTTGGCCCTTTTTGGACTTGCCTGCCCCAGGTCCATCAGTCTCCAGGCAGCCTCTTCCCAGTCAGTTATTCTCGGCCATACTGCCATCCAGGGAGGTAGGATACTCGTGGCCTAGTCCACTGAAGCCACACCAGTCTCACAGGGTGGCGGCCCGCCAGCTCCCATCTGTTGAAGAAATAGAGGGTGAATATTCCTACCCCCAACCTCAGGGAACCTCTGAGGAGACCCCCACACGTGGAACCCAGGTGGATGAGCTTTCTGAAACACGGGGTAAGCATCTTGGCTCCACCTTAAAACGAGCCAAGACCACTGTCAGCGTGGCCGCCGCCACGGCAGCAGCCTATGCAGCTGCAGCCACTTCAGCAGCCAGGGAAGCGAAGGCTGCCGCCAAGGCCCTCAAGGATGCCTCTGCCACTAAAGTGACTACCACAGAGCCATCTGAGCCCTCAGGAGGCTTTTCAGATAGTCTGGCCACAGGGCCTTCCCCTGTGACCACTTTCTCCATGGTCATAGATGAGGCGAAAGAGCAAGAAGAATCGCACCCATACTTCGTCCAATCCTCCCCATTGTACACTTCGCCCGGCCTAGCCAGGCCAACCCTTTCCCAGTCCATGATTCTTGGCATTCAAGCTGTGAGCCCTGAAGACAAGAAGAAGGCTGTCCAGTACTCGTTTGGCCACATTGCCCAAATGCCTGTCTCACAGGACTCCCTGAAAGCAGAGTTCGCCAAGCTCTCAGCCAACTTGAAACAGCGCTTGACTCATCTAGGTAGGCCCACCCTGGCCCTAAGAAGGGCAGCAGCCAATCGCTTTCTTTAGTTGGCTTCCCTTGCAGAATCACTAATCAGTCACTAGGGATTTGTTCTTTGGGTTTCAGCACTAGCCTTTTACTAGTCTATTCTGGGAACAGTGCAGTCTCTTGAGGAGAGGGGCTCTTTGGGTCTCTAGCTGGCAATTGATTGTACACTGGTGGCTCCTACCTGTAATCCTAGCTATTCAGGAGGCTGAGATCTGAGGATCACGGGACTAGATTTTCATTTTTAGTTAGAGCTTCTATGAACCTAACATTAGCTGCCTGGCCCAAAGCTGAGAGTGTGTCTGTGGGACAGGGCTGCCTCTGTCTCTGCTCCCACTGTCTCTGACCTCATGACCAGCAGTGGGAGCTCTAGCCAGTCATCTTCCTCCTCACCCCCAACAGCCAAGCTGTCCTTTGCATGCTTTGCTTTTAGTTAAAATGAAAGACACCTCCAGGTTTGAGACCATGTTGGAATCACTTGAGGAGAAGTTTAAGAACCTCCAGAAATCCAGGCTCCAGGTGAGTGTCTCAGATAGAAAGGAACTTTTGAGAAGATGATGAGGTGAACTGGGGGGCAGAGAGCTGGCTCCCCAGTCCCCGGCCCTCATCCACCTTGCAGCTGGAGGGAGGGCTGGGGTAGTACGTGGAAGGAGGGCAGCTACAGCAGGCAGAAGCCATCTGCTTGCTGCTGGGAGTGTGTGGGTGAGTGAGTAGGTGGGTGGCAGGCAACACAATTTCTTCCAACAAACACCTCAGGTGCTTTGTCTGGTAGCAAATTGGAGTGTGTGGGCCCCTTCTAGCCATGGCAGAGGCTGAAACAGAGGCTTCAGATGCCTGTGTCTCCCCTCATCTAGGAAGAAGAACTTGAGAGAATTTGGGGTACCCAAATAGACACAATGAAGAGTCAATACATGGTGTTGGACCGGGCGATAGGAAGGCTCCAGAATCGCCTAGAAGACTTCAAGGTTGGAAGGTTGGGGAAAGGACGGGCAAGGGAGAGTTCTTCCTTGGGAATGCATAGAAGGGATGCGCAGAAGGCTGCAGAGCCAAAGGACATTTTTTGTTTGTTTGTTTGTTTTGGCTGGTTGTGGGGCTTGAACTCGGGGCCTGGGCACTGTCCCTGGGCTTTTTTGCTCAAGGCCAGCATCCTGCTACCTGGAGCCACAGCACCACTCCTGGTTTTCTGGTGGTTCATTTGTCACAAGAATCTCACAGACTTTCTTGCCCTAGCTGGCTTCGAACCGCAATCCTCAGATCTCAGCCTCCTGAATAGCTAGGATTACAGGCTTCAGAGGATATCTTATAGTGTATAAATTACACTTCAATTAAAAACAAACAACACATGCATAAGACAGGGTCTCAACAGTATCTGTCCTCAGCCTCCATGTCACTCGTTCCTAGAAGGGCTGAGTTACACCTGCTAACAGAATCACTGAATGAGGTTAGGGGTTAGAGACATGGGCAAAGTGTCAGGGACCAGGTAGGAGTCCCAGTCTTGGAACAAAAAAAATAATAATAATTAGGGCTGGGAAGGTGGCTCAATGGTAGAGCGCTTACCTTGCATGCATGAGGCCCTGGGTTCAATTCCTCACCACCACATAAGCAAAAAGAAAAAAGCCGGAAGTGGCGCTGTGGCTCAAGTGGTAGAGCGCTAGCCTTGAGCTGAAGAGCTGAGGGACAGTGCCCAGGCCCAGAGTTCAGGCCCTATGACCTCACCCAAAAAACAAACAAACAAAACAAAAAATAATTAAGAGGATTTCCTGCACCAGCAGTTACCTTCTTAACATTTGGCCTAAACTCAGTCATTTTGGGGAAGCAAGACCCTTCCTTGAGTTCTCAGTATTGCTGGGCCTTTCTAGAACAGCAGGCTCACTAGCATGATAAATCTGAAGGTAGATATAGAGTGCTGACCCTGGATCCACTCAACTGGAGACTGGATATGAAGGGAGCTAGCCACTTGGAAGAAAAAGGGGGGCGTGGGAGGCCCCCCACTAAGCAGGCTAGCTGCTGTTGCTGCTCTAGGAGAGTCCGGTAAAGTGGAGAGGAAGCAGTGCTAGGGGGAAGCAAGGGTTTCCCCTACACTTGGCCACCACGTGTCAGCAGACAGCAGTTCTCACTGGGACCCCAGGGCAGATAGGAGTTGAACTGGCCCTGTGATTACATCAGGGCGGGAGACGCCCCCTCCAGGGTTGCAGAATGTCTTACCTGCCTTTGCTCTGTGCTTAGTCTTTTCAGACTCAGATCGACAGGCTGACTCAAGAGAAGGTGAATAAAATCACAATGGAGCAGGAGCTGAAAGAAGTGAGTAAGCAGAGGTCTTTGGCCTCCTGCTCCCCCCTGGTCCCAGCTCCAGCTCTCTACTTGGACAGAGTCAGCCAAAGAACCTTCCAGAATGCTCTCAGCCTCTACTCAGACTGGAAGGCCAGAGAAGCTTCTTAAAAGTTGTCCTGTTTGTTCCTCTTTTCAGCAACTCAGGTTAGTGACAGTGTTACCTATACTTAAAAAGACAGACGTCTCTTCTTCATCACAGGAAAACCTTGGTTAGATCCAGAGTTGAGTTTAAGCCAACGTAGACCCCAAGGGTTCTAAACAAGACAAGAAAAAAGAAAAAGAAAAAAAAAGCTGGGCGCCTGTAATACTAGCTACTCTGAGATCTGAGGATTGCAGTTCAAAGCCAGCCCAGCCCAGTCAGGAAAGGCTGTGACACTCTTATCTGCAATAAACCATTCAGAAAACTGGAAATGGTGCTGTGGCTCAAGTGGTAGAGCACTAGCCTTGAGTTGAAGAGCTCAGGGACAGCGCCCAGGCCCAGAGTTCAAGCCCCATGACCAACTAAAAAAAAAAAATGCTAACCAAAGGGATGGAACATTGTTCAGCATCTCCTGCCCCACCTCTACCCCCACCCAGCACTGTCCCCTGTGCTCCCTGTCTCCCTAGAAAGCTGAAAAAAGTGCTCTGGCAAGCAAGGCAAACAGGAATGATCTGGACCTAATAGCCACGGAGATGAATGAGATGGTTCAGAACGTGCTTTCCAAGGTGTCAACTCATGAGGCGGACTGGAAGAAGGCGCTGAAGCAAGTCAAGAAGGACCTGGCCACCAAAGTGAGCACCTCTGTGTTAGCACTTGCTGCTGAATACAAACGACTCCAGAACTTAGCAGTCTTTAACAGCAGATGTTCAGAATTTTGTTTTGTTTTGTTTTTTGGGGGGGTGGGGGGGCCTCAGGCTTGAACTCTGGGCCTGGGCGCTGTCCTCAACTCTTCAGTTCAAGGCTAGTGCTATATCACTTAAGCCACAGTGCTACTTCTGCTTTTCTGGTGGTTTATTGGAGTCTCACAGACTTCCCTGCCCAGGCTCGCTTTGAATCGCGATCCTCAGATCTGAGCCTCTTGAGTAGCTAGATGTGCAGTTTTAAGGAGTAAGAATTTGAGAGCAAAAGCCGGGAGCCAGTGGCTCACACCTATAACCCTAGCTACTCAGGAGGCTGAGGATCTCATTTTGAAGCCAGCCCAGACAAAAAGCCCCGGTGAGACTCATACTTCCATTAACCACTTAAAAACCGTAAGTGGAACTGTGGTTCAAAGTGGTAGAGCGCTAGCCTTGAGCAAAAGAGCTAAAGGATAGCACCCAGGCCCCGAGTTCAAGCCCAATGACCAACCAAAAAATACAGATAGTAATAATTTGAGAGCTAAAAACAAAAAGAATTGAGAGCAATTTAGCTTGGTAGCTCAGGGTCTTCCCATGAGGTTCAGCAAATGTGAACATCTGGTGTCATATCTGAAGGCTTGCCTGGGGGAGGGGGTGCAGGAGTGTCTTCTAAGATGGTGCCCAACGTGTCTGTAGGCAGGATGCTTCGTGACCTCATCCCACTGCCGCCACCTCAAGGCTGCCTGAGTGCTCCCACAACATGGCAGCCAGTGACCAACACAGCAGGAAGAACTTGTCATGTCTCCTGTGACTTAGCCAAGGGAACAGTGGCATTTTATTTGAAAAGATGTCAGAAATTAAAAAAAATAGAAATACTCAGATAATGTATCCACATACATTCACCCCCAGATCTAATAACCACTAATATGTTGCCATATTTGCTTTATAATTTAAGATGGTTGTGGTGTGTGCGTGCACCAGACCTCATGCTTCAGCTCAGGTCCTGGGCTCTGTTTCTGACCTTTTTGCTCAAGGCTAGTGCTGGTGTCTTACATGCTAGGTGTGGGTGGCTCACACCTATAATCCTAGCTATTCAAGAGGATGAAATCTGAATATCTCAGTTCAAAGCCAGCCTAGGTAGGAAAATCTAAAACTACCAACAGAATCAAGAAGTAGAGTTGTGGCTTGGCAGTGCACTAACCTTGAGCAAAAATGCTCAGGAATAGTGCTCAGGCCCTGAGTTCAAGCCTCAGAACTGGCACTAATGAAAGAGGGTGGGGTGGGGAGGGAGAGGAAGAGGGGGAGAGGGAGAGAGAGAGAGAGATTGATTTTCCTGCCTGGACTTTGAACCACAATCCTCAGATCTCAGCCTCCTGAGTAGCTAGGATTACAGGCGTGAGCCACTGTGTGCCCAGCTCAATTTTTTTTTTTTGAGGTACAATCTCACTATGTAGCCCTGGCTGGAGGTTGTTGTGTATCCCAGGCAAGCCTCAAACTCACAATTCACCTGCCTTAATCTTCTAAATTCTAGGATTAGACGTGTGTGTGTGTGTGTGTGTGTGTGTGTGTGTGTGTTACTGGGGTTTGAACTCAGGGCCTCAGGCCTCACATGCTTTTTCACTCAAGGTTGGCATTCTACCACTTGAGCCACATAGTATGTGACATCCTTCATATGAAATTTCTGGAACAAGTAAATCCAGGCAGAGTAGATTATGGCTGCTAGGGACTAGGAGGAAATGGGGGTGATTGGTCAAGGGTACGGGCCTTCTTCTGAGAGGGAAGCAAATGTCCTGTAGTTGAGGTGGTTGCACAGGTTCATGAGCATACGAAAAGCAAATGAACTTTGCATACAGACTCTACATGAACATGTGTCAAAGATACCCATGTCCGGAACACGGAGAGCCTCTACCCCTGCAGTTAAGCAGTAGATTTGGAGGCAGCAGCTAATAGCATTTTTTCCCATGGCCGCTGGGAGGCTCACCTTCCAGCTTCCCTGGTCCAAGAACACGCATGGGGAGCAAAGTCTTAACCAGAGCTGGAGCCTTCCCCTCAACAGGGCATCTCCACATTCTCTCTGGAGCTGCAGGTGGCTGGGTGAGCATTCGAGCATTCGTTGATGAGCTTGTCTTCTCTTTGCTCTGGTTGGCAGCTGGTCCCCAACGACCTGGAGGGGATAAAGAAAGAAATACAAGAGTTGTGGCACGTGGTTCTCAAGCTGGTGGTGGACAGCCTTCGGTTCGACCCCGACCGCGCTGCAGGCTTTAGGAAGTGAGGGCTGCTGCCTGGGGCCAGGGCAGAGCGGGGCGGGGCCGGGGTGCGAGGGTAGGGGTGGGGGGGCTCCCCTGCCATGTGGTCTCCAGCCTTAAATGCTGCAAATGAAGAAACTGAGGCTCACAGAGGGATGTGGGGGACCACACAGTGGGAGTGGCTCTGGAGCCTAGGACCCCGGAACTCTGCCCAGACAGCTGCCCCAGGGCCCCAGGAAAGCCTGGCATGGAGGACCATGTCTGATGTCTGGGGTGGGAGGGAGCCACAGGTGCGCTGACCCCCCCCTTCTGTCCCCAAGCCAAGGATGGGGAGAGCAGGGAGGGAACCTGCAGCTCTCCCAGCGCCCACCCTAGCCCCTGGGGACAGCTGACCACCCACCGTGTCCTCTAGGAAGCTGTTTGAGCGGGTGAAGTGCATCTCCTGCGATCGGCCTGTGACCATGATGACCAGCCCGTGAGTACGGCCCCAAGGCCCTCCGCCGCCAGGGGGCGCCCGCAGAGCCACCAGTGGCTGAGCTTGCTCTGTGCTTTTTTTTCCGATGGTGTTGGCGTTGGTGATCCTGAGGCTTGAAATTGGGCCTGGGTGCTGTTCCTGAGCTTTTCTGCTCAAGTCTAGTGGTGTTCTTTGAGCCACAACGCCACTTCTGGTTTTCTGGTGGTTGACTGGAGATAAGAGTCTCACAGACTTCCCAGCTTGGGCTGGTTTTGACCTGTGATCCTCAGATCTCAGCCTCCTGAGAAACTAGAGGAGTGACCTGGCTGCTTTGTGCTTTTGTGTTCTTTATGAGATGTTAGCGATCAGTATGTTCTAGTGTGGCTTAACTTGGATCTAGTGAAGGACATCACCTGGTCCTGTATACTTTGGCCTGTGTGCGTCTGTGTGTCAGGAAGAGTGGAGCAGCCCCGGCCTCTTCAAGGCTGCTCTGGTTTTGTTTTTTTGGGCTTGAACTCAGGGCTTGGGTGCTGTCCTTCAGCTTTTTTGCTCAAGGCTGGCACTCTGCCACTTGAGCCATAGCTCTACTTCTGGCTTTTTGGTAGTTAATCAGAAAAGAGTCTCACAGACTTTTCTGCCCTGGCTGGCTTCAAACCATGATCCTCAGATCTCAGCCTCCTGTGAAACTAGGATTACAGGCATGAGCCACCATCACCTGCTTAGGTTTTACTTTTTTTTTTTTTTTTGACAGTTGTGGGGCTTGAACTCAGAGCCTGGGCGCTGTCCATGAACCTCTTTGTGCTCAAGGCTAGTGCTCTACCACTTGAGCCACAGCTCCACTTCCAGTTTTTTTTTTTGTGTGTCTCACAGGACTTTTTCTGCCCAAGCTGGCTTCAAACCACTATCCTCAGATCTCAGCCTCTTGAGTTAGGTTTTACTTTTATAAGAACAGTTGCTTGTGTCTTAGCATGGGACTGTTGCAGTGAGAAGGTGGCATCTCGGTGGCGGGGGGGGGCATTGTTGCACCTCCCTCCTCCTGCTGGAGCTGCAGCCCTGCCTCCCTGCTTTCCACAGGCAGCTGATCACCATCCGCAAAGGCAACCTGTCTTCCAGACTGCGGCCGGCCAGTGCCAATGGTTATGAGTACCTGGAGCAGCAGATGCTAAGGTGAGGACCACGGACAGAGAGGCCAGCATCTTCATCGGAGATCTACCGCAGACCAAGAACTGCCCCAAAGCTTCCCAAAAGAATAGGCCTCCCGTTAAATCTCACAGCCCCTGCCAGCCCCTATGAACGTGGGTGAGGCCCTGGCTGTGTCTCTGTGCTAGGCACTTTGGCATATCCCGCCTTGTGGAGTCCTTAAGGCTTCCCTTTGAGGTGTTTTCCATTATCATCCCATTTCACAGTTGGAGAAACTAAGCTCAGAGAGATTCTGTGACCCTGCCCCAGGTCGTGAGAGAGGTGACAACCAAACCTGCTGGTTTCCCCTCCTGCTGGCTTCTTGGGTCTCAGCCTCCACACTAACCTCCTGCCGTTCTATGGTCCCGTGGAGGGACCGGGGCATCTCCAGATGAGCCTCTGCCCTATGCAGGGAACAGAAGTTGCAGTTGCAAGGCATGGACCCCCTGAGCACCCAGCAGGACTGGGGTGATGGGCCCCGAAACACCAACACCAGGCAGAAGACATACAACATGACCACACTCTATCCTTACGGGGACCCAGAAGAGCTGGACTATGACTCTGTGAGTCTGACATCTGCGGGACCCTGTGCCCGGGCACAGGTGTCTGCGGGTGCCAAGCTTGGGCTTCTGGGCGGAAGCCCTGACCTGACACCTGGGCCGTCCAACAGGCGGAGGTGGACATCCTGGGCGTGGATGGGATCCTTTATAGAGGCCGCATGACCCCTCTGACCGGGACTCAGCCACCTGCTGGGGAGAAGGAATCGACAGGTACGGGTGTGGGGGAGGGGGCGCTGAACCACCCTAGGCACCTTTGCTGCCCTGGGCCTGGGTCTGTGCAGCGTGAGGGAGGCCCACGGCCTGTGCCTTCCCTGACTGGGGGCCCCTCCACAGTTCCTCACTAAAATGTGGTCCCCTCAGAGGCCAGCAGGGAGCAAGAGACCTGTAAGCAAATACCTGAAAGGCAAGAATCCACGATGAATGATTGCTAGCTGACCTGAAGGGAGGCTCCAGTGAACAGGACCTGTGACGCGGTTGCTAGCCTAGGAAGTGGCAGTGGGCAAGTAATAGGCGAGTTGTGTCAGGGCATCAGTCCGTGGGGAGGATTGGACAGCCGCCACAGTGCTTTTGAAGAGTGAGTGAAGAACAGTGAGTTCAAAGACCCTGTGGTAGGCGGAAACCAGGTACAGGTGGAGTGGGGCTGATGAAGAGGAGACACAGGCGATCCCGACCCCGTGCCCTAGTGCCGGGGACAAGGGCCAGCCCAGCGGGAGCCCCTGACCTCTGTGCATTTATTCAGAACCAGTCACCAGCTTGCTATGCTGTCCAGGCTCACCGCCAGCTGGCTTCTACCTGGGACCCATCACTGGTCCTGCCCTACCAAAAGGGGTGCCTCTCCGCTCCCCTGTGGGTGCTTTCCCTCAGGAAGAAGGGTCTGACTGTGGCCACTGACAGCTGCCTTCCTGGTACACTAGATACACACGAGCACGCCAGCTGCCACAGCCAGCTGCCACACAGCAGGGCCTCCGGCCGAGTAGCAGCAGCAACAGCAGTGTGGGGAGTGGAGTCTAAATCAAGGTGTGGTTAGCACTGTGCTCCTCCTCCTGTCCCCTGGCAGTGGCACACCACCCCAGCTCTGCCTCGTCTTCTCCTCTGACGCCCACAAGCACACTTGTCATTGGCTTGAGGCTCAGTATCACCAGGGTAGCACCATTTCAGGATCCTTAATTATATCCACAGAGGCCTGCCTCCAAATAAGCCACGGCCCCACCCTATTTCCAGGAGGGCAGGACGCCATGCCCCTGCCCTCTGCTGCTCCTGCCCTCTGCCCAGGCACCGTGTGGCTGCTCAGGACCCCACTGCAGACCTGGGTTTAGGGATCACTGAGCAGCACAAAAACAGGGCTAATGGTTAATGACCCTGACCGTGCCAGGGCCTCCCCAGCTCCCTGCCCAAGCAGCCTGGTCTAGGGTCCCAGACACACAGAGAGAGGAGGAGATGCCCTCAGCAGAGGGGCCAGAACTGCCTTTACTCCCCACCCCCCACCCCCCACCCCCGTCCAGAGAGGGGCTTCTCTTCCAGTGGGTCATGCTTTCCCAGACCCCACCCAGCCCACACAACTCCAGTACTAGAGACCCACTGGGGCTGTGACCCCAGAGAGGGAGGAGGGCAGGGAGGGAAGGAAAGGAATGTATCCGTTAGAAACCTGTCTGCGGGCAGAGCTCCTGATGAGCTTCTGCTGTCCTGCACTCATTTATTTTCATCCAAGACAGACTCAAGCAGTATATCTACCTAAGACCGGCCAGGCAGGGCCCCTCCCCCACTCAGCCCCGCCTCCGGTGCAGGTGTCATCGGTCCCACCCTGTCCACGGTGCCAGTCCTTTGCCTATCCCACAAGGGCCACCAAAGGCTCCTGTTTGACCAGCTTGTGACCTCCAGGTGCTGCTTGGCCTGCTCCCTGGGAGGGCAGTGCGAGAGGAAGACCGGCTACAGGCTACGTGGGGAGGGAGGCAGGAGGGAGAAACACACCTCCGCCAGCTCATCCCTCCTTACTAGCTGCAGGCAACTGCCTAAAATAAGCCTAAAACAGGTGGGACACACACAGACACACACACACACACACACACACACACACACACACAGCCTAGAACCGCCTTGTATCAATTTCCTCTGCCTGCTGTCACCAACAGCAACCCAAGCTTAGTATCTTAGTTCCCGAGGTTGGAAGTCCAAAGCCAATATCACTGAGCTACGTGGGCCAAGTCCCTTCTAGAGGCTCGAGCGGAGAGCCTTTGCCTTTCAGCTTCTCCATCTTCAAAGCACATTGCTGTGGCTTGCGCTTCCATGGTCACAGGTGACTCTGACCCTCAGGAGGACACGTGATTACATGAAGCCCCCACCCCACCCCCACCCCTCCAGGCTAACCCTCCATCTCAGGGTCCTTAACTCGGTACAGCCCCCTTTGTCCTGTAAGGTCCCACTTTGCTGGCCCTGGCATTGGGATGGTAGTAGGTAAATGTCAGGATGATTGTTGACCAGCTTCAGGGGGGGGTTTTGAGCTCAGAAGAGAGAGACAAACAGGGCACCGGTGGCTCACACCTATAATCCTAGCTACTTAGGATGATGAGTCTGAGGATTGTAGTTCCAAGTCAGCCTGAGCAGGACGGTCTCTATTTGGGCATGGGGGATGGGGAATGACTGCCTGATGTGCCCTTGTAGAGGCTGTTATGTGACTTTTAGCTAAAAAACAAAAGGTGAAGCACTGAAAGGTAGGAGTGGGGGATGTTATAGGGCCTACCCCAGCAGAAGTATCTAAAGAATTGCCAGATAGCTGAGTATGGTGGTACACACCTGTAGTTCCCAGCAACTCATGAGGCTGAGGTGAGGGCCATAGCTTGAGTTCAAGGCCGGCCTGAAAACATAAGATCCTGTTACAAAAACAACAAACAAATGAAGCTGCAAAGAACCACTGGATGTTGCTTCAACCTTGAAGCCCTGTCTGCCTGGTACCTGCTGATTGTCCCTCTCCTCCCTGGCCTGGAGATGCATCCTTTCATACCTGTGAGAGGCTCTGGGCTGGAACAGGGATGAACAGGGGGTCTCTACCCATAGGGCATGGACAGAGTCAGGGGTGTGGAAGGTGGGCCTGGTAAACGCTGTGGTCCCCCCAGAGGGAAAAGTCAAGTGGGGCTCAGGCTGCAGGGTGCCTTGCTCCAGGAGAACCAGCCTGCAACCTGTTGGTCTTTTTCTCTTAGCTGTGAAGATCCCATGTCCTCCGCGGGCTCAGACCCCAAATGACCGAGTGCGCCCCAGTGCCATCCACCCCCGTGAGTACCAAGCACCCTGGCCCACTGGGGTCCTGGCAGCCTCTGCTGTCCACATCCCCCCCTCCCACACTTCACCAGGGCCCCATCCAGCCATCCTGGGCTCGGCTTCACCCTGCAGGGGAACTTCCTGGCCCCAGGTACTATTCCAGAAGTGTGGCCAGGTGTCTTGAGGGTCCACCTGGCTGTAGGGTGGAGCTCACTTTCCTAGGTCCGAGGGCAGGGAGCTGTAGGAGCCGGTGGAAGGGGCTGCCTCCCTGAGCTCCCCTGATGTGCATTTCCGTGTACCGGGCCTTCAGGGGAACTTAGGTTTTTTTTTGGGGGGGGGTCCGGTCGTGGGGCCTGAACTCTGGGCCTGGGCGCTGTCCCTCAGCTCTTCTGCTCAAGGCTGGCATTCTACCACTTGAGCCACAGTGCCACTTCCGGCTTTTTTTTCCTGCTTATGTGGTGCCGAGGAATCGAACCCAGGGCCTTGAGCATGCAAGGCAAGCGCTCTACCACTGAGCCACCTTCCCAGCCCGGAACATCGTTTTTACAGCACTCTTTTCCTTCTTGCCTCTTCTGACCCTTAGCAATGGGGCGAGGGGCACTGGTAGTCATCTCAAAGAGAATGGCGGAGGTTACCAGGCTCAGCTCAGACTCCACAAACCTCCAGACTCCATACCCAGGGCACCAATTGCACAGTCATATATCTTGGGTCACTACAAAGAAGTTTTGGGTGCTTGGGACCAGGAGAGGTGTGGTCACCAGTTCTGCTGTGGCCCATAAAACCTCTGTCTCTTCTGGCAGCGTCAGGAAGTGCTCTGAGAACAGGGGAGATGGGTTTCTTCTTTCTGCTCCTTCCCCAGCCCCCAGCTTCCCAGGTTACCGCACAAGTGACAGCTCAAGCTCCCGCCCTGTATCCACCGTGATGTCTCGGCCACCATCACTGCTGCCACTGCTGCCGCTGGTGATCCCTCCCCGGGGGGAAGCCCAGCAGGCCCCAGTGCCCCTCAGGCACCAGAAATTTGTGCCCCTTGAGCCCAGAATCAACACGAAGTCTACCGAGGAGTCCATCAACTTGTAAGCTCCACCCTGTGCCTCCCCCAACAGGGTCCCCTCCTCTCCCTCGGTGGAACCCCAGGGCCCTGGCTGTAGGACAAGGGTCTGTACAGGGGACCCTCAAGTTACGCGTTTACCTCCCCTTCCCCCCTCCACAGTCTTCATCAGATACATTCATAGGCAACACAGTTCCAGAGTGAATTTTTTTTTTGGGGGGGGGTCCGGTCGTGGGGCCTGAACTCTGGGCCTGGGCGCTGTCCCTCAGCTCTTCAGCTCAAGGCTAGCACTCTACCACTTGAGCCACAGCACCACTTCCGGCTTTTTTCTTTTTGCTTATATGGTGCTGAGGAATCAAACCCAGGGCCTCATGCATGCAAGGCAAGTGCTCTACCACTGAGCCATCTTCCCAGCCCCAGAGTGAACTTTTTAAGCCATCCCTTTCTCGAGCTGGTGCATATGGTGGTGTATGTCTGCAGTTCCAGCGCTTGGGAGGCTGAGGCGAGATGTTCTCAAGTTCAAGTCCAGCCCGGACTATCTAGGGAGCCCCTGCCTTTAAAAACAAAAGCCCTCGTTGGTATTCTGCTGAGATGATCCTCATCGGTGTTGCTTCAGCTCCGGCCATCTCTGCACGTCTTGTATGGCCTATTTCTACTCGGTCCAGTTTTCCCACAGGCACCAAACTTCACTGTGTGCACACATTTCATTTCACATTGGTCTTTGCTGGCAATAACGGTTAGGAACTGAAGTGTGTTCGTGTACACCATCTGCAGAGCCTCGCGGTTATCCCAGGGTGGCAGGGTCCCCTCCCCGCTGGCAGGGTCCCTGGCTCACAGGCCACATGCTTGGTGGCAGAAAAGCCAACTCTGAGCTCACTGCCTCAGAGCTCAGAATGAAAGGCTTTCCCGTGGTCACCTCCCTGGGCCAGTGACCTTCTGAAGGCTTACCCGCCTCCCGGCCTGTTCCTCCCTCTGTTTATGGCCCTCCCCTCTCCTTTCCGTACTGCTGACAGTTCTGTTCCACTCCACAGACACAGGCACAACAGCCCTGTGCTTGGGTGTGGGCAGTGGATCCCTGGTCTGAGTAGGAAGTTGGGGGCCAGTGGAGAGTGAGCTGGAGGGAGGGACTCAGGAGGATGAGGGGCAAAGGGCTCCCTGACATGGGAGGCCACTAGTTAGTGCCCACCCATTCCTGACGGTCCCCAATGCCACTCACCTGAGGCCACCCCCAGCCTGACTCATCCTTTCTTTCTCCAAGGAATGGGTCCAAACGAGTCCCAGCTCTTCCTGACCCAGGCGTCTGACTCACCTCTCCAGCTCACTCGGGGGGACCCTGGCGGGGCAGCCCCAGACTCTAGCCTGTGTGCAGATGAGTATTCTTTGTAACTTCTGGCAAGAATAAAGTCTGCCTTCTTTCTGAGTGTAGTTGAGTGGCCTGGCTGGCTGCCCCTGGCAGCGGGGGTAGCCCTGGAGAAGCCCTGGTCTGTCCTCTGGCTGCCACCCCAAGCTCATCCTCCCCACACCCCCAGACCCCAGCTGTGCCCTCCAGTGGAGCCTGGGAGCTGTTGGGATGACACGGTGGCCGAGGTCTCTCTGCCTGCCCATCCTTGGCACAGGGGAGCTGAGGACTCCCCGCCCCCGCCCCCCCATCCTCACAGCTGGATGCTTTCACATCTGCCCCCCAGCCTCCCCCAGCCCCGAGGCAGTCACCTCAGCCCTGTTACAGCAGGGGAAAGCGCTGGCACGGGGGGGGGGGTGCGGGGGGCAGTGGAAATCCACTGGGGAAGGCAGGGCTGGCCCAGCTCCCTCCTCGGTGCTGGCTTGGGACAGCTGCACGGTCAGGCTGGACAGCAGCAGGGCATCCGTCACTCCTGTGTGGGAGTCAGGACACAGGGTTTAAGGCCGAGGGGCCTGTTCTGGTGGGTTCACCAGTGGGCTGGACAGCCAGGGGGCGGTGGGCTGTATTTTGCAGAAGAGGGCCATACATGGAGGTGGCTCTGCAGTGGACGAAACATGCATGGTGACCACCCTGCACCTCCCAGCCTCTCCTCTGCGACTGAAAGGTGCCTGAACAGAGACCACACACTCATTAACTCAAGATGGAAACTCCCAGGACAATGTAGGTTCTCCCACCTGCCCTGGGCAGATGCCCTACCACCCCAGATTCCCTACCACCCTTACTTTTTCCAATAGGCTCTCTCACACTTTGATTCTACCTATGCCTCCTTCACAGCTGGGATTACAAGCATGCCTTACTACACAGACGGTGCTACGGTTTCCTTGAAACCCATAAACGGTGGCTACAAACCCAGAGCCCTTTCCAAATGCAGGAGTTGGACACAGCCTGACATTCTGGGCCAACCCAGGAGGGGCCTCCACACTGTGAGGTTCGTCCACTCAAAGGCCTCGTCTGTCCTCTACTGGGAGGAGACTACTGTTAGAGACCCTCAGAGACCTGGGCAGCAGCCAGTTATTCTCCAGGCAGCCACAGTGTTTTCTTAGAGAACCCCCGTCTGAGCCACCAGACAGACCCTGGGATCACTCAGTGGCCCTGGGCGCCGTCCTGTGTCCAGGTCTCAGGAGAACAAGGCCTTCTTTGAGGCTGTCTGAGGAGCCCTGCCCACTACAGAAAGCAGCTTGGGGGTTCTGTTCATCTGGCACCCACCCCGCCCCACTGAGAAGGCATGCTGCTGTGTATGTGGGCCCTGATGCTTGAACTCAGGTCCTGGGTGCTGTCCCTGAGCTTTTTCTTTTGGTTGTGGGGCCTGAAATCTGGGCCTGGGCGCTGTCCCTCAGCTTTTCAGCTCAAGGCTAGCGCTCTACCACTTGAGCCTAAGCCCCCACTTCCGGCTTTTTCTGCCTATATGGTGCTGAGGAATCGAACCCAGGGCCAATGCATGCAAGGCAAGCACTCTACCACTGAGCCACCTTCCCAGCACCTCCCTGAGCTTTTCTGCTCTACCACTTGAACCACAGCTAGCTCAGCTTCTGGCTTTTTGGTGGCTAGCTGGAGATCACAAGCTTATGGATTTTCCTGCCTGGACTGGCTTCTTATCTGAATCCTCAGATCTTAGCCTCCCAAGTAGCTAGGATTACAGACCTGGTGCCCAGCTAGCCCTCCTGATTTTAGGACGTTGGCAAACATATTTAAGAAACTCTGCGACCCTGTGTGTAAGCCATAGTGCACACAGCAGGTGTGCGCGACCGCCAGCCCCTGGGCCTGGCCTCCGCCACAGCAAGACCTGCAGGCCACAGCCACTGCTCATCACTTGGCGAGGCCACGCTTGCTTTCCAAGCCTGCTCCATCCTCTCCCAGAATCACACACGGCTAGAAGCACCATCTTGTCAACAACCTCAGGGATGCAAAGGACATTTTTAGAGAACAGAATTTGGGAAGAAGTCACCTGGAGCTCCAGTCCAGCAGCAGGGGTGGCACAGTTGGCTCCTGCTGGCCTTGAGGGTTGGCTTTTCCGTGGCAGTCAGAAAGCTCCAGATTGGCACTGGAAAGCGTGGAGGGTGGCCTGCCCTGGGGTCTGTTCGGCTAGGGTGTTAGCCCTTTGCTCTTGCAGCTGCCTGTGTCCATCATGTGGGGCAACACTAGCCTTAAGTTCAGGCTCTGAGCTCTGGGGCATGGGGATGGGGTGTCTTTGTGACCTCCTGGATTCCCTAGACTTAGGTCCAGCTCATCTTGTCTGACATACCCCCAGGCAGAGGCTCCACATCTCCGAAGGAGGGGGCTGGTGGCTGCATGGTTCCCCCAGCGCAGTTGTCTGAAGACAGGCTGGGGACTGGGCACTTGAACAAGCACCCAGGGGAACCTTATGCCCTGCAAGGCCAGGGATCTGGGTTCGATGGCCCCAGTGATTGCTGGGTGGCTTTATCACCTGGGAGCTGTATTGTAGAACCAGCACACCATAAAGCTCACCTTTGTAAGTGTAAATGGAGTAGCTTGTAGTGCCACTTCCGGGGAACCTGGGCCTCCCCCTGGGTGCAGGTTCTGGGTGGTGGTGGACAGGAACCTGGCATAGCAACCTCGGGGCTGGAGAGGGACCCTGCACCAAACCAACTGTCCCTAGAAAATGTCAGTATTGCAGACGTTTTTAATCTTTAGAGGTGCTGCTGGATCTAGCAGGAGGAATGCTGGTCACAACATGCAGGGTGCCCTGCCACAGGGATTACCATTCAACCCCACATGTCCAGCGTCCAGGTAACTGCCTTCTGTTCATGTGGTTACTCAAGATAACCAGGCCCAGCCCCCAGAGGCCGCCAGAGATGTACTTGAGCTGGGAAGGTGGCTCAGTGGTAGAGTGCTTGCCTCATGCATGAAACCCTGGGTTTGATTCTGTAGCACCACAGAAGCAGAAAAGGACCAGAAGTGGCACTGTGACTCAAGTGGTAGAGCACTAGCCTGGAGCTGAAGAGCTGAGGGACAGCACCAGGCCCAGAGTTCAAGCCCCACAACCACTACCACCACCAACAAAAAAAAAGTCCAGAGAAGATATTTAAGGCCTCAGGCTTGCTGGGCTAGTACTCTACCACTTGAGCCAACCTTAGCCCTTTCCATTTTATTTGAAAAATACAGCTGAGTTTTTGCTCAGGAGAGCCTGGACTGCAACTTAATTTGTCACCTGTATAGGCCCATACCACATCCACTCAGCCAGTTAAAATGTAGCTTCACTTTTTCCATAGGCTGGTCTTGAACAATGTTTGACACATCTCTACCTTTCAAGTTGCTGGGATTACAGGTATGAGCCACTGTGTGGTCTTGGAGAGGGCACTTCTAAAACTTGTCTATTTTTGGTGCCAGAGGCTGCTGTCAGGGAGATGGACTTCAGACCCAAGGCCCTGCATTTCAAGCTAGGGGCTGTGCCTGAGGCCCACTTTGAAGAATGAGGGTTAGGACTACTACAGGCCATCCAGAGGCTCCCGAAGGAAAAAACACAAAACAAAACTGGTGCCCCCTGCAATCCTAGCTACTCAGGAGGCTGAGATCTGAGGATTGCAGCCAGCCCAGCAGAAACGTCAGTGAGAATCATTTCCAACAAATACTCAGAAAAAGCCAGTAGTGGCGCTGTGGCTCAAGTGGTAGCATGCTAGCCTTGAGCAAAGGAAGCCCAGAAACAGCATCCACTGAACTCAAGCCTCAGGACTGGCAAAACCCAAAATAAAAAACCTGGTACCCCACAGCCTCCTGCCTTCTGGAATCAAGACCTATTGCTGCTCCCTGCACACCTGGTACATCCACCCCAGCAATCTGTCCACAGGAAAGTGCAGGCATTTACCCGCACGGCAGGCGACTCCTAAGTGACAAGGCCTTTTCCCACCACTGGTGGATGGGAGCATAAGGCAGTCTCCTGAGAACTCTCTCCATCTCTGAGTGGAGACTGGGGAGGCCAGAGATGTCCGTCTCTCCCCCACACCCCCATCCCCAGTTGCACCCTAGTCACACAGACATCCCAGGTGGATGCTGGGGCCTCCAGGTGCCTCACCTAGTCCTGGAAGAGGAAGATATTCGTTAGCCTAGCATACTCAAAACTGGGGGTTTTGATGTGTGGGTGCAAGTAAGCGTGTATGTGGACAGTGTGTGGGATTCTTGGAACCCAGTCCAAAAAGAACAAACTTCAGCAGAAAAGCCTCAGGCAGGCAGGAGCACTTGACGACAGTGACTGGCAGAAGCAGTGTGAAGCCAGGTGAGACTAAAGTGGCCTGCATTCAGCTCAGCTGCCCCTTCAACAGCAGGCCGACAGCAGAGCCCAGGATAGAGGCAAGACCACAGAGCCTGGTGGCGTTTGGAAGTAATTCTTCTCTTTTGTTAAAAGGGGGTGGGATTGGATACCCCTGGGCTCTGGGGGAGGCATGCAGGCAGCCCTTAGCAGGCAGGTGCTGGGAGACGGGTGGGAAGAGGCCTGGAGTTTCCCACAATCCTTTTCTCTGCAGGGAACAGCAATGCTGGCTGGTGAGGGGGTGGGGTGAGGCAGGGCCCTAGGGAGAGAGGGCGGCGGGCAAGGGGTTTGGGGCTCACACTAACATGCAACGTCCAGCTGCCCCATAAACTAGGTTGCTTTCTGAAGAGCAACCCATGTATAAACACACAGACATAGCTGCGTGCGCATGCGGAGAGGGCCCTGCGCTTCCCGGGGGTGGGGATCTAGGCCTGCTGGCCCCCGAGGACTCCCAGTCTGGAGCCAGCCTTGTCTCCTCTCCGCCGGGCAAGTCTCTGTGGCAACCCTGGGCAGGTGGGCAGGTCCCGGTGGGATGCTGTTTGGTCTTCAAGGTGCTGTGCTCCAGCGCCGGAGCCAAGTCCATGCGAGCTGCCGCACACCTGTGCGGACCTCACGAGCATGTAGCTGGGCGTGCGGCACAAAGACGTGTCCCTGCCTGGCTAGAGTCCA